TTGAAACTTTGTGGCACGAGATGAAAAAGGTTCTACGACAACATCCTGCTCGTACAATCACCGAACTGAGACAAAAGCTTCAAGAAATATGGGATTGTTTTACATCAAATTTTTGCCAAAACTTGGTTAACACTATGCCCAAAGAATTTCAGTCGTAATGAAAAATAAAGGTGATGTTACCAAATGGTAATCTTTCAATTGTTGCTTTGTTAACTTCGCGTAATTATTCGCACATTGTTTATTTATTCAGATGTTCTATTAGTTATAGGTCTAAGTGATTTCAAATATGTATTTTTTACGACTAGAGTGTATCTAAAATGTTTTTGAGAAAATAAATTGTTTTAGAAGTAAATAGGTAGTTTCGTTATGTTTAGTTTATAAAGGCATATTTTGGTACAAATCTTGAAGTGGGCCAACTGAAGTGTGAAGGGGCTCGTAGGTTTGACAATCCCTAACGGGCAACATTTTGAACACTTATTGAAACAAAAAGTGATATTTTCTTGTGTTTATGTTTTCTATCTGAACAAATTAAGATAAATAGAGATTTTTCTAATTTTCTCGAAAACGAATTGACTGATTTAAAAAAAATCAAACGTTAAAATAAAGGACTTCGAAAGACCTTTCAAACAAGCTATTACTCGATACCTCTTGTCATTTGAATTTTTTAAGGGAATGATCCTAGTGGGGCCGAGGTTGAAATAGGGTGAAGTAGTTTTTGGTTGGTTAATCAGTGGTTTTCGATAAATTCGTGGTGGGAAGTTTTCAAATGAACGAAATTGAAAATGTTCAAAGAAGGTCCTTTAAATTTCTTTATAAGTTTGAGGGAATTTAGCCTGAGCAAGCAGTTAGCAATGCAGAGCTGAGTGGGCATCTTGTAATTCAAAGCTTGGAGTTCAGAAGAAAAGTTTCATCTACAATATTTTTTTTTAAATTATTACATGACATGATCGACTCCCCAGATATTCTAGCGCAAACTAATATTAATGTACCTCCGTTTTCTTCGCGTAATTATGTCATTTTTAAACCATCTAAAGCAAGGACCAACGTTTTAGTCAAGTCACCTGTGCATGATATGTGTACAAATCTCAATAGGGTTTGCTGTCATATTTATATATGGCTTATCAGTACTTGAGTTGATAATTTTCTTTCCACACTATGTCGTAGGTTATTAGTTTATTTTGTTCATGTTAATGTCCTGTAAATAGGTAACTGGTGGACAATAGATGCTGTTATTATTATACATTGAGTAAACGTTATTATAAATGGCTGATAGAGCGGGTTAAAATAAGCAAAAAGTTTCATATAACATGGGGGTCAAAACGGCATTTTTTTTAGAGAAAAGCGACTTTAAAGTAAAATAAAATCTGACAACGCCGCAATGCCAGACGCAAATTACGACGGAACGCAGTGTAAATAAAGATGGAGTTATTTTTGGCTCTTAGGTATTAATTCATTATTTGATAATGTACTCGTAAAATGCAGACAATTAAAAAAAACGGACTTACCACTAACTGTCTCAGCGCTTCACCTGGTGTGTGAAAGTTTATTGAACGTATTAAAAAAATCCACTTATAAATAGGGAACACAATTTTGATACATACATTGTTTTTCTTTTTAACCCACTCTGCACTTTTTTGTATTTAAAGAAGGTGTTCAAAATGTCGTCCTCCACTTTCCACACAAGCTTCATTACGACGAACCCAGTTTCTTCTTACTCTAGGTCCTCGAAGTTGTCCATTTATTATTTCAGCTGCATTAACAGTTTTTCGCGAAGTTGTGCTTCAGTTGTTATTGGACCAGCCCCATAAACCATCCCTTCAAGTTCTCCCCAATACCAGAAATCCATCGGATTGAGGTCAAGAGATCTTGCTGGCCATTTTCGAAGATCAGGAGCATTTCGACCGATCCAGCGATTTGTATAATGTTCATTCAAATACTGAATGACCCCTCTAAAAATGTATGAAGAAACCCCAAATTCTGTCTCCGTTGTAATGGCATGTTGTCTAAGGTCTGTTCCAAAAGTTCTGGTAGGTTATTGGCTAGAAAGCTAAGGTATCCTTCTCCTGACAACTTTGGGGGTTACTCGAAAGGGCCAATTACCTGATCGTCAAGAATACCCGCTCAAATATTTATTTTAAAACGTTGTTGGAAATGACCTTCACGAATGGTATGAGGATTATCTTGGGCCCACGTGTGAGTATTATAGAAATTTAATATCCCATCTCGCGCAAAAGTACATTCATCCGTCGCTAAAATGTTTTTAAAAAAATCCGGATTTTCAATGTTTTTGTGCAAAAACCACCGATTGTAGTCTGCGAGGATAGTCTTCTGGTAACAAGGCCTGAACTCGTTGTACATGGTAGGGATAAAGCAAATTTTCCCGTAGGATTCTATGGACTATGGTATGCGATAGTCCTACGCGGCGGCCTAATTCTCGAGTGTTGATATCTGCATTGATTTCCAAGATATTTAAAATTTGTTACTCCTGCTCTACAGTAACCTGTCTTTCACGAGTGCGAATATTAGTGGGCTGAACACTTCCTGTATCTCGAAGTCTTTGGTACACTTGTACAAATGTCATTCTGTCAGTTTGCGAAATATGTCGCGATAAATTTGAGCTGCAAGATTTGAATTCTGACGAGCTTCACCGTAACCTAACAACATGTCGGCGAACTCTTGATTCGAAAACATTGTAAATAAACACGACGACGTATGCGAACAAAAACAAAACAACACGCCCGATGCCCGATAACTAACCACTGTTACCGTTTGCGATCGATTGCCGGTTCGATAAGAGTGATGAAAGGCCGACGCGCGGTTGTCATGTGTGTTTTAAATATTTAATTTAATGAAACTTACTTACTTACTGACTACAAATTTTGGCTCAACTTAGAAAAAATTAATGCCATTTATTTGTCAATTACCCAATTTAAAAACCTTTTAGATTAGATTTTATTAAAATTAGTAAGATTGTGGTGATTGTGCTCGATATAAAGCTCTTAAAGTTGTGAACAATAAAGCCATTTAGACAAAAATCTATTGACCTCTGGACCATGGGTCATATGAACTTTTTGACTTGGTTTGACCCCCCTATTACCCATTTCAATAATGAGTACTATAACGTTTACACCCTGTATTATTATTCGTGATAATTCATCCGACCCCATCAACTGAAATTTACGTTTATCGTATATCCAATCATCTCGCCCCAAATCGATGAATCGCTCTTGCTGGAGCACTTGTCTGTATTTTATCATTTGAGCTTAAGCTCCACTGACACGTTTCTTAGAACACAATGAATATTCCTGTATCATTCAAAAGTCATGATCACGTAATGTTATGGTTGAAGAACCTTCGCATTAGGTCATTATGTTGTTTTTTAGCTCGTCACTGCTGCATTTGTGTCTAAAAAAGGAAACTAGTTCGGAACTCCTGCTCATACCAGCACGCAAAGCGTAATAATTATAATTTAATAGCAAGCGGCAAACACAATTTTCAAACGTCACGCCAAGCAAAGCTGATTGATTTTTTGACGCTGTTGTGCTTTGTTACTGTTTGTAGTTTATTCAGTTTTTAATATCGCTCCTACATAAACAGTAACAGCACAAGAGGTTTAGAGATCTGGAAATAATAATAATAATATTTATTTACTCTAAAATACGGGGAACATGAAACGAGTAAATAAATATAATATATCCATAGGAGGACAACGCCATGTATGTTGAATTGCAAAAGATAAAAAAATAGAGAGAAAATTTTTTTTTGGGTAGAATGATAGAGCATTTATTGTGTAATATTTGAGATTATTCTATTAATGTGATTTCTCCCAATCGTGTTAATAAATTCTTTTATTTTTTTTTAAACCTAATATATTGCGTAATTGTTTTAAATTATTTGGTAAATGTTCGTAGAATTTTGGAGCTAAATACAGGTGATATTGTTTCATTAAAGATTTGTTTGGTTTAGGAACATTTTTTGCGCGTAATTCACATCTGGAGTTATGACTATGTTTGATTATGCCGCGTTCACTAATAATTTTTTGATAATGAGTGATGGTATGTAAGAATTAAAGTTGTTTAGTATCATATACTTGTGCATCATTATATATATATATATCTTCCTGTTGATATTACCAAAAAAAAAACATATGGGAATGTCAATAAAACTTAAAACTAGGGACAAAATAACAGTAAAACAACGGTAAAATGAAATAAAACGGGTGACAATAACAATCAATTTTCCTAAGTTAAAACATTCAAAATGTCTACAAGAAAAAAACTCTACACTATAAAAACACTGATCGATCAGAAGCCTTCTCAAATTTCGTTTGAAGGACCTCACGTTTGTTTCTGATTTTACCTCATCTGGTAGATAATTGAACAATGTTAATCCCATTATTAAATTAAATCGTTTCTTTCCCTTAGCAACAAATAACTAAACAGGCAGAATGCGGAAAAAATTCGGGTTGTTATTTGGTTGTTTTCACGTCTAACCTTCCGAATTGCTGTGTATGATGGTAGTTTCCGTGTTGAATTATAAACGAATTGTAGATTTGGCAGACCCTAACGGGCAACATTTTGAACAATTATTGAAATAAAAAGTAATATTTTCGTGTGTTTTTGTTTTCCATCTGAACAAATTAAGAAAAATAAAGATTTTTCTAATTTTCTCTAAAACGAATCGACTGAATTTGAAACATCAGACGTCAAAATAAAGGACTTCGAAAGACCTTTCAAACAAGCTATTACTCGATACCCCTTGTCATTTAAAATTTCTGAGGAATTTTTTGTTAAAAAGTTGTCCCCCTTGACAAATCTTTTGACGTGTCTCGCCGTTTTTTTTTTCTTTTAAATAGTGGTTTTCGATAAATCTGTGGTGAGAAGTTTTCAAATGAACATCCTGTATGTTTTGATTGCCTAAGAGAGCTCTTTAGATACTATCTCGACGGATGTAACATTGGTCCTATGATGAATGTTGAACTGACTATCAGAGGCACTTACCGGTGATTTCAGCGATCCTAGCGGCTTCTTTGAACTGCACTCCCCCAGCACCGCCCACCGTAGTCAGAAGCCCAGTAGGCGGTAACGTCGGCGAAGCGATCACCTCCTGGTGATGGAGTCGCTGTCGAGCGATTGCTATACCCACGGGAATACCACCTTCTGGAAGACAACAGTACTTTTACTATAGTCTTGCATCTTTATAGAAGTAGTAATTTGTTTTTTTTATTTTTACGAAACTTTGACAACATTAAATATTTTTCATTCATTTTTTTTAAACAATTCTCTATTGACCGCAAGCAAGACATCCATGGTGCTTATGCATCATCCTTAGACATGTCAAATCAATGCACTCACCAGTGATCATCCCAACAGTATCACCCTGTATCTTCTGCGTGGGTGACGTGGCCTCCAGCTTGATGGCCCCAGCACCAGGCAAAGCGTCCGCGCTGGTGGTGATTTCGGCGACTTGACATGCCCCCACTCCTCCACCAGGTGTCATGGACGCGGGTTCTTTCTTCACAGCGGAAGGAGACCAGTCTAGCGGGTTGGTGCGCGAGCATCCTGTTGAAATTGGCTCGCCCGTCGATGAGTATCTGGCAGGTTTCGTTGGAGATGACAGCAGCTGCAAGTTATGACGTTTGAGGATTGATTTTATATATACTCAGCGACACTAAAAGTGTTACATCCAGAAAATATAATTTCTTTAACTTGTTTTTTTTCTTCGGTAACAATGACTATACACACCTGGACAATTTTAGTTGTATAAATTCTAGAATCTACAATACCAGAAACAGAGAAGAGCTTCATGACCGATCTCTTTCTGGCTCGCCAGGCCTTTCTCGAAGCAGCGATGGGGACTAGACATATATAACTCGAAGCCCGGGAGATGGAACCAGAGTAGTTAGACATAAATAATGGTGTAACATAAATGTTCTATCTAGTCAAGTAAAATAAATTAGTGCATATCTTTTTGTGGAATCCAGTTTTGTAATCAACACCCAAAAGAACCCAGAAAAACGCTACATTATGTAAGAACATAATCAGAAAAATTTTACTTGATAAAGCTTTCTACCCTATAGAAGAGTTTTTAATGTGTGATAGGTTTTCTTAATTGTTTTAATGTATTGTTCAATTTTAATTTGTTGATTTGTTGTTATTTTAATTCGTTTTCATGTTTATACACCTTGTGCTTTTTATTTGATGTTGAGAATGTTATTTATGTATGTATGCAATTCCGTTTATACTAATATTCAATTGACAATAAATTATTATTATATTTAAAGCATGCTGTGGCAACGATGTTAACGTTTTATTTTTGTCTTTGTTTTCCTTTGTAAAAATGTTATGTCTTAGTTTTTGTGAAGATAGCAGTTTCTGAAAACTGAGTCGTACAGATATTTTCAGTTATCGCCCTTTCATTTACTAGTGTTATAGAATATAATAACAAAATGCCTCGAGTTTGAAGACGAATTATGACCATGTCAGCGACTTTGACAGGGATAGAATTATCCCATATCGAGATGTTGTTTCGTCTTATCGCGAAATAGACCGCCGTGTTAATTGTACTGCAATGACGGTAATGAGTGTGTGTCGTGTGCGGATAGAAGAACACGAAGAAGGCCAACTGGTCCACCGAGGCGTACCACCGAGCGTCAAGATAGGTGCTTCAGACAAGTACGAGGGTGGTCCCAGAAGTACCCGGCCTGACCTAGAGATGGCGTTAGTTGTTTGAAAAATATCATTGTATTAGAAAGTATGCAACCTATAAAGCATATGTGTCAAGTTTGAAGACGCCACGTTCTTTAGTCTTTGTTTGGCAGCCATCAATACTGAACGCTTTGGTCATCGTTATGTGGTACAATACTTTTATTTCAAAGGCCTCAGGCCAACCAATATAAAAGCTGAACTGGATTCTACTCTGGGTGAGTCTGCTCCTTCGTTTACAACAGTAAAATATTCTGTAGCAGAGTTTAAACGAGGCTGTATGAGCTGCCAAGACGAGCATCGCAGTGGTCGACGAAATGGGGTGACGACAGAAATGGTGAAGAAAATTCACAACGCGGTACTAAATGATCGTCGACTGAAACTGCGCGAGCTAGCAGACGTAGTAGGCATTTCAAAAAGTGCGGTTCATCGCATATTATCTGAAAATTTGGACAGAAAGCTGTGTGCAAGGTGGGTGCCGTATTGCTCACAATCGAGCAAAAACAGTGTCAAGATTTTTCACTTGAGTGTTTAGCGAAGTTTCACAGCAACAAAGCAGAACTTTTGCGTCGTTTCATAACCATGGATGAAACATGGGTCCATCACTTCACACCCGAGACAAAAGAACAATCAAAACAATGGACTCAAAAGGGACAACCGGCTCCAAAGAAGGCGAAGACCGTTTCATCTGCAGGCAAGGTTATGGTGTCGATTTTTTGGGATACGCGTGGGATAATTTTCATTGACTATCTTGAAAAAGGTAAAATTATCAACGGCGAGTATTATGCGACTTTATTACAACGTTTGAGCGATGAAATCAAGCAAAAACGACCGCATGGTTAAGAAGAAAGTGTTGTTTCATCAAGACAATGCACCAGCTCACAAATCCGTTATTGCAATGGCCAAAATTAACGAGTTAAAGTTTGAATTGCTACCTCATGCACCCTATTCGCCAGATTTAGCCTCCTAGGATTATTTTCTGTTTCCAAACTTGAAAAAATGGCTCAGCGGTCAAAGATTTTCCAACGATGAAGAAGTGATGTCGGCAGTTAATGACTATTTTGAGGAGCAAGACAGTTCTTTAGCATAAAATGGGTTTCGAACTTATTGAACATCGCTGGGAAAAGTGTATAGAGCTCAAAGGAGATTATGTTGAAAAATAAATACATTTTTTTACAAAATTTTTGTGTTTTCTTCGTTGGGTCGGGTACTTCTGGGACCACCCTCGAAGCCCATTCGAGCCTTTTGATTATTTTCATACCGTCCACGGTTAGTGTTTCCTCTGTATATTTATATAGTATTCATATTATGTTTCAATTTACTAGTTTTAGGAATCTATCACCAGTCAGTCTAGTCACGGTGACGTAATAATTCACTTAAAAGATGGCGACGAAATTGGAAAATTTGCACAGTTTTTATCTTCTTCTCGTTTTCGATTAAATAACTAGGTTGGACGGGAATTCATGACGATATTCTGTGACCATTTTTCTCTTAAAAACGCCAGCTTTTGAAACTATAATGCCCACTCATATAACCAACTATCAAGAGATTATTCATGCTTCGTGGCCATATCGTAAAATTGATTAGTTCATGAAAATGATCAAGCATTGAATGAAATGGTCCCATTTTATTCGAGTATATCTTCACTTCATAACGTGTAATATTATAATGTCAAAATACGAGGTGTGCGGAAAATAATGTTCGTTTTTTGAACAAAATATTTATTTATTCGTCTACAATAATGCTGCCATCTAGTCTCCATTAGCATTGAAATCCTCGAAACACTTCTCAAACTCAATCTTTTGGATATCGCTTTTAATGACATCTATACTTGTACGATAAAACGACCGTTTAAAGTTCTCTGTATTTTTGGAAATAGTCACACTGAATCATGTCTGGCGAATATGGAGGCTAGAGCATCGTCAAAGTATTGTTTTTCGCCAAAGATTCACGAACAGGCAAGGAAGTGTGTGCAGGTGTATAATAGTGATGCAAAAGCTATGAATTGCTTTTCCACAAATCTGGGCGATTTTTTGCGGATGGCTTACGCAAACGGCGTTGAACTTGTAGGTAGTATTCCTTATTGACCGTTTGAACACAGTGAGCATAACCTTCACCTTTGCCTGTACTTGTTCGAACCTTTTTCAGTCTTGGCGAGGATGCCTCCACTTGTACGATTGAGCCTTAGGAGAAGGAGAGCCCTGAAGAGCAAAGCTCATTGGTGGTCCCGAGGCTGTCTGTTAGAGAAGTCATGGATCAGTCGGACAGCCCGCCTCTGAACAGCATCGAGTATGGATAATGTAGTCGGGGTGGCAGCACCCCAAACATGTGAGCAGCATTCGTCTTATCTCAGCCTTGTATAGAGAGAGGAGGTAATGTGGAGAAAAGTATTTCCTAGCACTAAACAAATAGCCTGGCTTTTTTCCATCAGCTACCGCTTTTGACGAGATGTGTTCGTGCCAGATAAAGTCGTCGGTGATTGGACTCCGACCAGCCGAAATGAATGGCTCTTTGGCAGAACTCGGCCATCCATCGAAACCGGTTGACCGCTAGGACGCCTTTTGTTCGTCAAGGTGCACTGTGTTCTGGAAGCATTAAGTTGTAAAATATAGAGGCGTCCCCAAGCAGTGATAATCTCCAGGTCTCTTGGCAGAGAAGTCGTTGCTAGTCTCCTTTTCTTCACTTCTCCGGAAGAGATCGGCTTGTCACAGCGAAGCTGTGTCATTGACATGTAAGAAGATCAGTGTCGGAGCCAAGACCGATAAATGGGGAACACCCGCGCTGACGTTGTGGGATGAAGAGGGGAACCCGTCAATTACGACGGGTATCTTGCGGTCAGAGAGAAAATCAGCCACCCATCTGTAAAGCTTCTCTGGAAGGCCAGAGGATTTAAGTTGGCATACCACAGCTGATGATAGAACGCTTTCGTGATATCAAGAGCAACGACATGAGCGTCACCATAAGACTGGATGAGTTTGCTCCACAATTGCCTGACGTATGCGAAGAGATCCGCTGTGGACCGCTGGTGCAGGAAACCATACTGCCAGAAGCTCGCGATTTATGCTCCTCTCCATCACCTTACTTATAACAGAAAGCAGAGCTGTAGGCCTGTAGTTATAAGGGTTGGTCTTGGATCCTTTTTTCTATTTGTCTTAACATACGACAATGGCCGACCTGAACAATAAATACAGATGAAAATTTTATCATGCGTCAGGAGCATGTATAGCAACATAATAAAAAAATAACAATCGGGCTATCCAAACCCGCAAAATTTATATCAAGGGTTTTTAACCTTCTACCCGTACCTACTTACAGATAGCCAGCCGCACATAACTTGGCCAATTTTATATCAAATTTAGGTTTATTGATAATATTAGTATATTCGCATAGGGTAGGAATGTATGCTCGGACCCCTCTTACCCTGATTATCCCGTTTAGGGACTGCTACATTTTTCTAAACTAAAATAGCCATTTAACTGCACTATCTATTAATGAGAGGCAGAGGCAGAGATAATACACCTTCTGTTAAAGAGGACGTTCATCATCTTGCACTGATCATGGAATTCATTACATCCGGATCTCCAACGAAATTCCCATTTGCTAATTCTCCAGGGTTTAACTTTCGCAAAGCTAACTTTCCTGAAATGTACACAGCCTTGCAAGATGTTAATTGGACGGAGGTGATCAGTGCAGTTAATGTTGATGTCGCTTGTACCGCCTTGTATTCAGTTATCAAATAACATCTTTGAGGTCCATGTCCCTAAATGTAAAAATAAAATGTTTTCGTATCCCCCATGGTTCACACGTGAAATTATACTTAATATCAAGAAGAAGGACATAGCAAGAAGGAACTGGAAAAGTAACGGTACTAAGTTTTCTTATGATCAGTTCAGTAATTTTAGGAAGCTCATTAAGAACCAGATCAGTGTTGCCTACTCCGCTTACGTCCAATCGATTGAGGATGCCATTGTCAATGATCCTAGCAAATTCTGGTCATTTGCCCAGTTCAAAAAACAGCAATCTAGAATCCCCCCAAGGATGACGCTTAACGGCAATGTCTGCGATACGCCTGAGGATATAGTGGACAGTTTTGCTACCTTCTTTTCAACAGTTTTTATCCCGTCTGGTCTACTAGGGTCATCTCCTCCAACAAATAATTCTACCGATATCATTTCTTTAAAAAATATAAGTGAAGAAAACGTAATTAGGGCTTCGAAAAGATTAAAGAACAAAATGACGTCTGGATGTGATGGTATTCCAAGTTTTTTCGTTAAAGATTGCATTCATATACTAGCGAAACCGCTGGCTTCCATATTCAACCTAATTCTAAAATCAGAGATAAATATCCAAATATCTGGAAGACCTTTAAAATATGTCCTATTCACAAAAGTGGAGATATCTCTGATATTTCCAACTATCGCCAAATAGCAATCCTGTGCAATTTCAGCAAGTTGTTTGAGATCATCGCTTATGAAACGGTTTACTGCTTGGTCAGGGGTGCAGTCTCTATTAATCAGCATGGGTTTATGAGAGGCAGATCTACGGTCACCAACTTGGCTCTAATTACTCAGTACATTTCTGAAGTACTGGACGGTCAGGGATAAGTTGATGTCATCTACACAGATATTCAGAAGGCGTTTGATCAAGTTGATCATTATGCACTTCTGGATAAGCTTAAAACAGTGGGTATGTCTGATGCAATGCTGTCGCTCATGAATTCATATTTGAGGGATAGAAGGTTATTTGTCGAATATGATGGTCATAGGTCGAGTTACTATCGGGCCACGTCTGGGGTACCTCAAGGGTCAAATCTAGGTCCATTATTGTTTTTAATATTCATTAATGACTTGTCTTTTGAACTGAAGTGTTTCCATTTGTTTTTCGCTGATGACCTTAAAATCTGCACGTCAGTCAAGACAGTCGAGGATTGCGTCATGTTGCAAGATGACTCTAATTTCGTCATGGTGTTCACGAAACTGCCTCAGTCTGAATGTTTCGAAATGTAAAGTTATGACTTATACAAGAAAAGTTAACTATTTAATTTATGATAATTATAACATCAATGGTCAAGTTATAGACAGATGCACCTCTTATAGAGACCTTGGAGTCATTTTTGATACCAAGCTAACGTTTACTGAGCATATACTCAATATCTCGTCGGCTGCCACTCGACTACTTGGTTTCTGTATCAGAAACTGGAAGGGTTTCTCCTATGTTGATGCATTAGTGACTTTATTTTTTACTTTTCTCAGGAGCAAGTTGGAGTATGCGACTCTGATCTGGTCTCCTATATACCAAAATTCTGTCGTGATCCTTGAGGCCATTCAACGTAAAGCTTTAAAGTATTTTCACCTTAAATGCACAGGTTCTTATCCAGAAAGAGGTTGTGACCATAGTGCCCTATTAGAGTTTTTCAATTTGGATTCACTGTCCACAAGACGAAACATATTTGCTTTGTCGTTTTTGTATGGCCTCATTCACAATAAAATTGACTGACAAAATTTACTTGAAAAAATATGTTTCCGCGTTCCAAGGCTAGGGAGTCGACAACAAACGGCATTCTATTGTCAAGCTGGCCGTACAAATGTTATGACAAAATCGCCAATTAATCTCTTGAGCTGCGTCATGAACAGTGTTACTGAATCGTGTGATATTTACAGTGACAGTTGTGCATCGATTATTAACTGCTATAGATCATCCAATCTTATTTAGAATGTGTGATACTATAGATTTAAGTCCAAGAACCATGTCTCTTTAATTTTAATTTTTTTCAGCGTTTCCTGTAATTGGGTTTCACCTGTTGGAAATAAATAAATAAAATAATGCTTTGTTTAATTGATTACCTGATATCCGCACTGCTTCTGCGCCCTGCTGGTCATCAATCCTTGGCAGCATTTCTCGTCGCACCGGCTGCCCTTCTTAGGACTGATCGCAGCCCCGTACTCTTGTGGTACTTGTTGAGATGCGGGTTGCAATTGAAGCACAGAGGTAGCCCCCGCGCCCCCGAAACACCCCTTGGCAAGCAGCTCGAGTTGCGCCACTGGCACAGGGGAATAAGGGCTGCCGGGGGGAGGCGTAGGGGCACCGAATGCGGTGTACCCTGCAGCCGCCGCTGCCGCCGCAGCAGAGAATAGTGAGTCTGAAACTGAAAAGATATTTTGTTAGAACTATAAGCTAGAGCTAGAGCGTTTCTTTTAGTGATTCAGTTCCATGATTTCAATTCTGGTCTTGGAAATGATTCCTTCGATTCATTTACGATTCCGATATTTTTTATATTGAAACAGCCGCGTAGACAGAAGTCTACCGGGGCATTGTGGCTGCTATTAGGAGTTTAAAGAAAGCTTGTTATTCCGATTTTTCAACTGCCTAAAGTTAAAAGAACTAGGAAACGCTTCCGCAGATTGTTCCATAATCTGGGAACTCTAGGGACAAATGAGCGGCCGTATCGTCCAGTTTTGGTTCGACACGGTACAGGGGTGTTGGCGGCCCAAAGCATGAATTTAAGTGAGAAACTGAGATTTTTAAAAAAGTAGTGAAAAAATAGTGCAAAATAGTGAGTGAGCTCGGCTCACTGAAGATGGCTACCGCAGATGTAGCTGAAAGCTCAGGAGAAAATCCAACCCGATCTCGGCTCAACAGCCCGAAAACCCAAAATGAGAATAAAAAAGTGAGTTTATTTTATGAGACATTGAGTATATCTCCCAATTTAAACGGATAATATTGTGTCGTTTTTCTGGGTTCGTTTGGGTGTCGATTAAAACACTGGATTCTACAAAAAGAAATGCACTAATTTATTTAACTTGATAAAACATTTATATACACAACTATTTATGTCTGACTAATTCTTATGTCGCCATTGACTGCACTAGACTCCACTCAGCTCTGCTACTCTACCGTATTCAGTACTCCGGCCGCCGAATTATATATAGTCCCCATTGCTGCTTCGAGAAAGGTCTGGTGAACCACAAAGCGGCATCTAGAATATTGGAGGTCACTTCGCGTCGATCTAGAAGGCGAGTCACTGCCACGGTCCTCACAGACGCCGCCAAGCGGCTTGTGCGGTCGTGGTTCGCGTCAAAGCAGAGATCGGCCATGAAGCTCTGGCGAGAAGGAGACTCGCCCAACAGATGGCGCCAGCAGTACTATTTGTCACAATATAACTAACGAGTGAAAAGAGCGAGGATAACTGATAAGAGTCTTATCTGTGTTACTGTTTTATTGACGTACTCATAAATAATGAATTATTATGTAAGCATATTTTACAAACAGATGCATCTGATGCATAGAAGTAACATAAAAAATATGACAAATTCTTTTAAATGCGGGAGACATGCTTATATTTATTAAGTATTTATGCCCAATTGATAGAACCTACATTTTAATGAACTGTCTAGTGTTAAAAAGTTGGAATTTGCTATAGTTATTATAGTATTTTTTACACAATAGGTGATTAAATTAATCAACAGACCGTAGGTACTTGTCATTAGTAATCAAACGAGGCCCTATTCGATGGGTTCCAATGGCCACTTCCTGGCTCCATATCATATAAAAATTGCATCGCCAATTGTCATATTAAATGCCAGTGTTTCTTCCATGAACCCCTTTCATTTGATATCGATAATATGGGGGCGACTATGGAAATTATGAATCGATATTTTGCGGCGGGTCCCATATTGGAACTAGAATTACGTCACGTTGCTTACTGTGTCATCAAGCCCTTGCAGTCGATAACCATATCATAGGGGTAACTATAGAAATTATAAACGCCATCTTGCTTGCTTGCGGCGATCGACATATTTGATTTGAAATGACGACACTTTGCTTATTATGTTTCTCTCAAGCCTTTTCATCGGATGTCTATATTATAAGGGTGACTATGGAAATTATAAATCGCCGTTATATTGGGTTTAGAATGACGTCAGTTTGCTTATTGTTTCTTTCATCGAGCTCTTTCATTTAATTTCCATATCATGTAGTATGGAAATGATAAATTGCCTTCATGTAGCATCCGCTATATTCGATTCAAAATGGCGGAAGTTAATTTATTATGTAATGTCACACGAACCAGACAGGCATATAAAATTTCAGTTCAATTGGTTAAGGTTAATTGGTTCAAAATTCAAGATATGTCCCACACATGCATACTAACGAACTACATACTCACAGTCACAAAATCTGCAAAAAGTGCCACTGTTAATGCAATTTATATTGAAATCCCAGCTCAAATTAAGCCAGGCAAAATGAAAACGGTTCAGGGTACATTCGTATTTTCCGTCTCTCTTTCTCTCTCTCTCCGAAAAACGATTTTATATTGTATTGCTTACCGATTCGCAAAGTTGAATCGAAATTCAACGTAGATTTCAACTAATCCTAGTAATTTCTCATGTAATACATATTGGCTTCGCTTGGGGAGAAGTCTGTACGTGAACAACTTAGTGATACTTAATTTTTATAACAAAAATTCATTCCTTTAATTTCACGGGTCTAGAGAGATGGAAGACAGCTCCTTCGAGAACGTCCAGAAAAACTGAAAACAGTGAGTCGGCAGGGTCTGTGCGGTTAGGATGGGAGGTCTGCATCATTTTGAGGAGCAAAGCCTGTTGACATAGCGGAAAGAGCCAGACCGCTGACGACCTGTCGGTGCGAAAGGGTCTCTAGTTTGTTTATGTATTTTATTTCAATTTGTTCAGTCGTCAAGCTCGACAATTATCGACTAGTCCATTACGGCACCTAACGCCACTTTTTTGGGACCCACATTTTTATCCTGAGGTTCAATAAGTATCCAACATCTAATAATCAAGCTAACCAAGCCTGAAGCTCTCGAGAGTTATGGGTCTGTAGTTGTAAGAGCCGGTCTCAGATCCTTTTTTGGGACCGGCTGAGCATGAGCAAATGTCCAGTTTTCTTGGAAAGAACCAGATTCGTAAAATATCTTCAAGAGTCGCGAAAAAACTGGAGCAAGCGATATTACCCTGTGCCGCTTGAGATTTCAACGATTCTATAACATTCCATCTGTGTTAATGGCCACTACAAAGGACAACACCGCAGTAAGAATCGATTCCGATGGTCTCGATTCCCGAAACTGAACTCAATTGGTAAATAAGTTATTATTATACTAATGAAGACATTTTTCAAATATTCTTGAGTATTTGCACGCTCGCCCTGAAGTCGTTTCTTAGGTAAATTGGGAGGCCCATTTTCATACTACAAATAAGGGTTGCGACAATGGCATTTTTTGAACAAAAGAAGATGGAAGTGAACCTTTCCCCCTCTACGTTATTCAATTACGAATCTTTATTGAAAATGATCAGGACCTTCTGAACGTGAAAAAACGAAGTTTGAGCGATGCTTATCTTTCGCGTGTGCCTCTAGCTCCATCGCGACTGGATCGATTTTCAAAAACCACACAGGCTTTTTCGTCCTTGGCATAGTAGCTTTCTGTAAAAATTTCAGCAAAATTCGAGCGGTACTTCCCAAGTTATAGAAGGGCCAAGGATTATTTAGGGAATAAAAAACGTGAAAGAATATCTCACAAACTGTAAAGGATAATACCCGTAAAAGAACTCGTTGTGCCTTTTTCATAGACTTATTCTGCAGGTAAATCTCCCACCTATTTAGTTGATAGAATTACATTTAGTACTGATGCACGTACGTAATATAAAGTAAGATCTATAGGTCTGCTAACACCACCTACCTATCGCGTGGCGTGCTTCCAGTTTCCAAATACGCAAAATCTATAAAACGGCCTGCCATCAAGTTATAAAATTTTCTATGTTTAAATCTGATGTCAAAAATATCAATACTTCCTCGCCAGTAAAATAGAGTTTGAAAAATAGTGAAAACGTTTCGAACTGAAATGGTGCGAATTTTCTACACAAACTACTATATGAAGCTATGAATACGTTCCTCTCCAAAGCTTGACAAATATGCGGGATTGGTATTGTATCATGGGTGATCATCAATTTATATTGTCCAGCACACATGACGAGATGTGGGGTTTCAATTTGGAGAGAAAACAAAGACCTAAATTTGTATAGGGGCATGTAGCATCAATGAAAAAATATACCAGCGTTTATTGGAATATTTTTACTGGCGAAGCAGGGGTGAGATGGAATGAGAGAAAATAAAATAGGCCGCAATTGTAAATTGGTTTTGGGAGACACATCATTGTTTGTGAAGGGTGATTTACTCCGAATTTTGCTCAGCTCAAATACACAGACTGGCACGTAACTTGAAAAGTGACATTATGCCGTTTTTTTTTTTTGGCATTATGCTGTTTTTTTATTGACATTATGTAGGTTTTTCTACAAGATGTTAACTTAGCACTTAGTTGTACGTGTTGCCTAAACGTCATGAGGCTTGTTATCAATCTTTGGCTCTGATGTGATGTAAAATCTGCTTGTGAGATGGCATTACTGGAGGTCTAAGCTGTAAGTTGTATGTTTTGATGTGATAATTACATTGGGTTCTTGTCTCAAATACACTTAATAGAGATTCAAAGCTAGTTGCGCATCCATTTTTTTCTTATCCATTCTGGAAATTACATATACAAATTTGCTGAATTTCAGAAATGAGAGACAAGAAATAATTATATTCACTGTACACTGTCGAATTACAAGCCATATACGTACTAACAGTAATTACACACAACGCGGGCGCGGTGATGATTTCCCGTAATTTATAACTTTGAACGTAACATCTCTTCAGAAAGCACAACATAAAAATAACCCGTCGGGCACAGCCAATAGATATACTTCATTGGCAGCATATTCAGTAATGATTTTCTCACATAGCAAATATCACTATCTTGCTATTCAACCAACTTTCTTCTCAGAGATAAAAACTACAGACAAGAACCATTTGGCCTCCAAAACATATGCAACCAATAATGCGTTTAGTTTAAGTTGAGTCATTCCTCCTTAGATGGACGTTCACAACGATCCTAGTGAGCAAACGTGGAATGACTGTTTGCACCCTAAAAACTACCCAGTTTGCAAGATGACATCTTATAGTTTTTTTTGACGTTCTATAGTTTTTTTACATGATACCCATGCCGTGTGAAGTTAGTAGCCCATTTTTAGCAGTCAAACTAGCAGCCATTTTCTAAAAGGTGTAACAGCGCTAATCGTCAAGCCGAAACCGGGT